GTGGGGACAGGCTTTGAGGGGCACTTTTCGAATAAAAAAGGCATTTAAAAATTTTTCCCCGGAAATGTTGGCGACGGGGGGGAGAGGCAGGTCTTCCCAAAAACTTTTTCCGGACATACCAAAACATTTTCCGGATATATCATTTTTTCTTAAATATGAAAAATTTTTCCCAGATATACCAAAAACTTTTCCGGATATATGATATTTTTCCCGGAAATGAAAACATTTTTCCGCAAATAACATAAATTCAAGTTTTCAAAAGTGCCCTTTGGGTAAAAAATGCAATCCTAATGACATTTTTCACGCAAGAAAAGGGCACTTGGCAAAACTTGGGGAGGGGACCTGCCCCCCCCCCCGGTTCCTACGCCCCTGAGATCAATGACACATGTTCGATCACTGACGACTTACACGCATTGCGCAGAATTCGTGGTCATATCAAGTAAGCTACAAATATAGCCGAAAGCCCAAAGTCTTAACAAGGGTACCACAAAGAAAATTAACTGTATCTGAAACAAAAACATACGAGTAACGTCAAATTTTTGAAGGGCGATTGAATCATGTGGTTTTCAGGCAAGCAGTAAAACAGTACTACGCCTTTATTATAGGTGCGAGCGCGTCTTCGGAAGAACCAGTAGGGTTTCTGGTCCTCTTAAAAGCCTCAAAGTGCCTATATCACTTGTGGGACTTTTATGGATTTGAAAAGAGATTAAAAAGTTCGTCAGTAAGTTCTAAAGCTTTTTTTGATTTAGTGTAATAGTTTCGAGGATATACGCCTTTAAACAACGAACTGTTCCTGAGTCCCAGCCTTCTGGGGTCTAAACACGGCTATTGAATTTGGCCTTTTTCGAAACTGTCCATTGTGCATAGGAGCCTGGGACTCAGGCACTGTAGGTAGTTTAGAGGCCTGTACCTTCGAAATTATTGCACCAAATAAAAAAAAGCTTTTGAACTTATTAACTAACTTTTTACGCTCTTCGAGTCCATAAAAGTCCCACACGTGATATAGGCAATTTAATAATCGTTGGTGGATGTGCAGAGAGTAAGATGTTGGTTTTAAGTTTGTTCAAATGAACATCAAGTCTGCAGTTGACGAATAGTCCAACTCTCTTGAGTCCAACTATAACAAAAAGCATCTCGTTTCGCCGTTCCAGTAAAAACTCAACCGTATAAACTTGAAGATACATCAAGGGTGCACCGAACCAGCTAGGCCACCACAAAAGGACGGTCAAGTAACCCTCTACATTGGGAATTCTACGCAATGTTGTGGGCAAAGTAGTAAAATAATTCAATTAAATAGTGTCGCAATCCGCCCACAGTGGTATTACAAGCCGATCGGTGGGTGGCTCAGGGTGCGTGCATGAGAATGCTGAGAGAAGTGAGGACGCTGAAGGTGTGTGAAGTCGTGTGAGGATGCTAAGGGTATGCGAGGAAGCTAATGGTGTGTGAGGACGCTGAGAATGCCGAGTGAAAGGCATTCTCACACCATCTCATAGTCTCAAACACCATCAGCCTCCCCACTACACCTCACGCATCCTTACTACCCTCACACACCATCATCACCCTCGCCACATCACACACCATCATCTTCACTACATCTCACACTATCCGCCATCACCCTCACTACATCTCAACCATAGAAATAATAGACATAGAATGCGTACTCCTATCCTTTCTCAGTAGAAATTTTGTCTCCACAAAATGGCGGATTTATAAGGGCATTTTGGCTAGTCACAGACTCCTGCGGCAAGGAATTTCGAGCGGTTGTAGGGAATGCGAATTGTTTTGGAAAAAAAGTTTTGTAAAGGCGAAAAACCCATTCCCGTGGGTTTTTTTTACAAAAAGCAATAGTTCTGAACAGAATATATACAGAAATCGTCGTTCAAAATTACATTTTCAACGTTGTCGTGCAAGCCAAAACACGAAAGATCAAGACAAACTCAAACGGTATGTGCTACAAATATTTCGACTGTCTTATAATATAAATGGAGTTCAATAATCTTTTTAAACTTAGGGGCCACGTCCATATTCATGTTGCCACGCATAACGTCGAATCGACGTTATCACCAGTAACCACCCACCCACCTCAGATAACGTCGATCGTTACCCTGTCGTATTTTGACCGCTTATTCTTATAAAATATGGTATATAATCAATTAATTTATCTCAGAAATGCATTAAAATGCTGAGGCTTCAATTCAAAGTTATTGACTATTGTACTTGCCTTTATAAAATATGTGAAGTTTTATCGCAGTAAAATGTCGCGATTCGCGAACACAAATTGACGGGTATTTGACACGAAAAAATGTCGCTTCAATACGTCGACCTTTGTTTTGAACTCTATTAGTTCAAAATAATATAATACTGGCAAAAGTTGCACGGCAAACTTAAACTTCAGTCTGTTCGGATGTAAATAGTCAAAATTGCCGCGAGATAAGTGAGATAACGTCGAGGAGTTGACGTAAAAACCCACCCACCCACCCATACGACGTTATGCCTGGCAACATGAATATGGACGTGGCCCCTTACACAACTACTTTTTATATTTTTCTACGTGGCTTGAGCTTGAGGCAACGCTTTTGAAACCATATAGATGCAGTTTTAATATCGACAACTAAATATTTTCGTTTCAAAAACATGAAAACACTTCGTTTACATTGAAGAAAAACGAAACCCGACGAAGAATGAACTATCATTTCGTAATTTCATAAAATATTAGCAAAACAGTTGCGTTCAGAGCATGTAAAAATGTTTTTCAGAGCATGTAAAAATGTTTTGAGTAAATTATATTTACGCAAAACTACTTTGTTTTTACAAGGCTGCGCACGATTTTCACCGTTTTTGTAACTGCAGTTTGCTTTGTCTTTGAGCTAAAAGAACTTAATATTTCAAAATCTATCCTCAAACTACAAATTAGACAGCAAGACAAAACGTTCTGACAATGAAAACTTAGTTTTAGCTTTGTTTATACTTTGTAGTTTGCACTCCTACTCAAATTCAACATGGCGGATTTATAAGGGCATTTTTGTTTTCAATTTGGACACCGGTCACGTGACCAAGCACGCATTCTAGGTCTAATATGTCTATGATCTCACCCCAGCATCTTCACCACATCTCACACCTACCGGCGTCTTCACTACATCCCACCACCCCCAGCATCTTCACTACATCTCACACACCTCCGGCATTCACTACATCTCACACATCCTCACGCACCTTCCAAAAAGGGTCGAACAGTCTTCGTGAACTGCCCACCCCATGGTTTCATCTGATAGCGTCTCAGCTGATTTTTCATTAAATCCTATTAATTATATCATGGGCCACAATGCTGAGTTATCGAACAACACAAACGAAATGAATTTTTCTTCTAATTGCATCTTTTACAATAAAAAGTATTGTACACTCAATGAATACGTATGACTGAGTTACTTCACATAGAAATTATTCCTGGATTTAATCGAGTTAAAATTTAACACAGTGACTGTCACAATTAAAAGTTTATCATTATCTTTTCTGACTGCGTTTCTTGTTGAGATACGAAATATTCTATTGTTTTGTTTCCACGTTTCAATGGAATAGTGTTTTGGCATACGTCTATTCTTTTTTGATATTGTTGTATATTGTTTTCAATGCGTATCAATTCATCGTCTGTCACGACGCCCCCGAGGTGCTGGACTGTTACCTTGCCCCCCTCCTCCACGTTGGTTATTTCCAGCCCCACCTCGACCACCACTAGGTGTATTAGCCCCACTTCCCTTGCCTCCAGGCCCACCACGAGAATTCATTCCACCTCCACGACTTGATCCACCCGGTTTTCCACGACTTCCAGATGCTCCACCACGCCCACCACGACCAAGAGATCCACTTGGTTTCTTTTCTTCAATGTTGATTTCTTGACTATTTATAAATATGGGCTAAATATACAGTGAAATATCTTGAAGAATGACTGCCTTAGCTAGCATGTAAATTATTACTACTCTAACCCCATGGCGGTCAATATTTTACAATTTATAGCTTGCCATTTGCAAATACTGCTCTGGTTTCCAAGAATAATAGAGAGTTTAAGCTTCGCGTTATACGTCAAACGGCAAACGCCAGGCAAATAAAAATTTTATGGTATCAGGCAATAAAGAGTAAATGAACTTGCTGTTTTAAAACTGAAATACATAATTATTCTTTCAACGCAAGAAGAAAATATGAAACGAAAACGTTCAACGAAAATCTTGCCAAGAAAGTTCGAACCTGCCGTTTGCCGTTCCCGGAAACGTGAAGCTTAAACTCCCTAATAACGCCATTCTACAACAAACATTTCTGCCTATTCAGAATAGTGACATTGGCTAAGAGAAGCAAACGCTGCGTTGGAACGTATGCTACTACATCTTACGGTTAAGTTAAGCTCAATAAACTTAGCAAAAGTATCACAATAGGCCAAAGATGTCCGCGAGAATGGATATATGTAAAAACTGAATACTCACCAGGTTTTTTAAAACTTGCTCAGCGGGTTCAGGTGAGTCAAAAATAACAAAGCCAAAGTTCTGAAATATTAAAATTATAAAAAAATAGATTATGAGTATATAGTCATAGACATTTTGTTTTCAAAGGATAGTGTTACGTTCGAAATTCATAAAAATAATCGGGATGTAAAAATGTTAAATATCTCCCTTATTTTGTTGAACACAAAGATAGCAAGGCAAAACTAAATACAAATATGTTCGTGAATATCAGTACAATGAAAATCTGAATGTAATGAAACTCACCTTTGGATTTAATCGGATTTCGATAATATTCCCAAATTCTAAACAACGAAAAGAAAAGTCAAAGTATTAAGTTACCTTGTTTATCAGTTAAGTATAACGTACACGAATCGTGTTTCAATCAAGCACCATATAGCCATGCAGAACTTATGGTGTAATATTTACATATTCAAATATCCTCCTTGTCAAAAGATATTTTTGTGGTCATTTTCTGCGAAAGGTATTGTAAAGTCTGTAAGAACACTTTAACTCTTTCATTCCCCTACCATCTCATACTATCCTTTACCAGACACTGCATTCTGTCGGGGTGGGGCCATAACAGGCTAACTGTTATAGTGAGCAAGCACTCTATAGTGGGACATAGTATACTGTAGGAGTCAATTAGCTCATACTGTCAAATCCAAATTAGGATCATAACTGTATTTTAACTGCAATCACGAAACAATAATTCTTGGAAAATACAGTACACCCCCAAGTAGTAATATAGGGGCCGTTCGACCCTTATTTTTGCGGTGGTGGAGTGTGGTGGTGGAGTGAGGAGGAGGAGTAATGACGTCACTCATTAACATACGTCATAATTATATGCAATGACGTCACGCGGGCGAGCTTAAACACGATCGGGCCTTATTTTTGTGGTGGAGTGTGGTGGAGTGTGGTGGAGGGAGGGTGCGTAATGACGTCACTCATTAACAACGTCATAATTATATGCAATGACATCGCGCGGGCAGGTTTAAACAAGGACGTGTGAAACTTGCTGACTACGCATTTTTCAGCGTTCCCCCACGTGTGTGATACAATAAAGGGCTTAATATTGGCTTGCTATGAATAGCTCGAGTCCCTCACAAGGCAAAATTGTTATCGAAATTAATATATAGCCGTATCTTTGCTCGGAAGAGATAAATTTCCACATGTATATTGAAGGATTTTTCGTATGTTCCACAGCGAGGAATCTTTTCCTCACAAAAATCAAGACATATTTTAAACTAAACAGTTCCTAATCCCGAGTTGTCAACGTCGTTGTTATGGTCAATATTTACATGTTGTTCAAGATTATTTAGCAATCCTCGTACATACATATATACTGTTAAGATGATCATAAGAAAGCTTATCAAGAGTAGAAGTTAGAATTAGAACAGTTTAACAAATAGTTTTAGTTGTAATATTTTTGACACTATCGTCTGTTATTTATATCAATAAACATGTTTTGGGCTTTGCAAATGTTGCGTTGTTATGTGTTGCTAAGTCATTAGGAGGCGTGTAGGCAATTAAGGGGATTAAGGTAACACGAATTTGCATAACTAAGTGTATCCCGATGGATAGATAGGGATTATTTTTAACGCAGGTGTATACCTTAAAATCAGGCGCGTGGCTTTGCGGGTACATGCATATATTAAAGTACAACATATTCAACTAAATCGATCAACTAAATCGGTTTCTCACATTCAAAAATAAGATGGATGTCCAAGCTCAAGCTCCTGTTCAGACAACTCCACTAGTGCCTGCAGAAATACCACCACCCAATGAATTTGCTGAGATAGTACCACCAGTGCCTGCTACGCCTAAACCTAATTTCCT